TTTTCATCAATTAACTCAATTTTTACCTTTGTTTTATGTTTTTCCCATCCTTTTAAAGGGTCTTCACTATATAATATGTCTAATTGTTCTTGAATTATTTTTAATTTATCTATTGAAAATATAATTAATTCTATATTATGGGTACTTTCCTTAACATTTTCTAGTTTTTGAGTGATTTTTTCACTTCCTTTAATCCATGGGGTATTTTTTCTATTTTTATTAGTTACTCTTTTTGCTCCTACTTTTTGTTTACATGGTGTAGTAAACCACCAATGTGTTTTGGTTATTATATGAGGATATAATTTTTCTAAAAAGGGCATTCCTAGAAGCATATCTTTGTTTATAAATTCATAACTATATATATCTTCTATAGTTAATATTTTATCCCATACTTGTAATTTTATATTCTTTGCCTTATATGTTATCATACTTCCTTCGTTATTAAATCCTGTTACTACTATATGTGTTTTTAGTTTTTCCCATTTTTCATCTGGTAGGCAATTATGTTTACACATATTTGCTTCTGCTCCTGTATCTAACATTGGAGTGTAATATCTGTTATAGTAATTTTCTACTATTATTTTTGCAAGTATATAAATCTTCATATTTTATTGCTTCATATAGTTCTTTTTATTGTGACTTTTTTGTTTTTATAGGTTATAATTAATTGTGTATTTTCTAGGTTATATGGTTCATTTCTTCTAACCATTTTATTCGTAATATTATATTATCACTTTGGTATATTTTAAATTTTATTAATATCACTATACCTCCTATGATTATTTCTAAGTAATGCTTTGCTTATGAATATGATGTATCTCTTATGGTTATGGATTATATCTTATCTTGGCTAATGCTTATATTATGTCTATGTTGGAGATTACATATGCCTATGTTGTCATGCTCTTATGATGTTACGTAAGCTATCATATTTAGTACATTTTGTACTAACGCATACTCTTGCATACATTATCAAATGTAGGGTCTGGTGATATTGAGTTTCATCCCCGTGGCTAGGTTCCTAGTAAAGCATGGAGTTGAAGACTTGGTGTGTCGTCATAGCATCGAAGACTTGATCACCTTTCCTTTTTATGTCTTTCTTTTATGTTTAGATTTTTGTATGGGCTGTGCCCGTAACTCTGTTCAAGTATTAGATAGTTTGAGACAAGTGTAAGAGTTCCGGTTCGTTTTTGAGACTTTGATTGTGTTGAAAATCTTTTGCATTTCCGCAGTTTTCTATTATATTATGTTATGATATGCTAAGGGACTTGATGAGACCCCTTAGGGGTTGAATTCGCCTTGTTACATCTCGAGGATATCCCTGGGTCGTGACACCATGTCTTGGCTAAGTATGAGTTTAGGTTACTTCAAGAAGAATTCCTTATATGTTGATATGATCTATTATGTGTATTGATTATGCTTTATGACTTATGTTGTCTAACTCTTGTGTTTATGTTGATGTTTGTGCAAGTTATCATATTTAGTACATTCATGTATGAACACATACTATTTCCTACATTTCTTATCCAAATGTAGGGTCTGGTGATGTTTGCGTAATCAAGACACAACTTCCGATGCAAGTGTCTACGATCGTACAATAGTTTAGTAACCCAACCAAGGGTTGGGGTTGAGT